AGTAGGTATTTTAATAGTAAAATAATTATAAGTTCTATAAAGACAAACTTATAATTGTTAAATTTAGCAAAGTTGTTTTTAGAGATTAAACTAAAAACAGGAGTTGAATTGAGTTGCGGCTAGTGCAGCTGGTAGGTGTAATCTTGTATAATCTTGTATAACAACAGGTAAGATATTTTGTGGCTGGTGTGGCTTGTGTGCTTGTGTGACCTGGTGTGATGTAACGATAGTATAACAAAAGTTGTTTAAAGTTATTAAGACAAAAATAATAAATAAAAATAGAGATAAAAATAGATGAAACAGATAGTATTTTGTGTAAATTAATTAGTAATATTAATTTGTAATAGTGATCTACAGGTTTGGGCGTCCTAAAGGGCCAGAACCTCCCAGAAAAAAAAAACTTTTGCAAAAAAATAGCAAAAAATTTTTGTAAAAGAGTTTGTATGATTTTTTAAATAAAAACTTAAGTTTAAGTCTGTTTGTTATGTATAATATATCAAAATGAAGCTCTAAATGAGCTCTGTCTTTTTCTATTAAGGAGCAAGTGATGTTTACTTATTAAAATGTTGAGATTTTTAAATAAATAGAAATTTGAGCAAGTATGCTATATCTCTTTGTAGAAGGGCTAAAGAAATATAATAAAAGGCTACCTATATGTAAAGTCTTGTATAAAACAAGTTTACTTAGACAGTCAACTGTTGTTTACTTAATAAAATTTTGCAAAAATGCAGATTGTTTGTAGAGAAAATTTGGTACAAGTGATCATTGGGAAGAGTTATATGATCAGCCTCTATTATATAACTATTATATGATAATTATATTTGTCAAAAACAACAGATTTCTGTAAAGTAACCAACTATCTAAAACCCTTCAACAAATCGCAAATAATAATAGTCAATACAAAGAATTAACTTTTTATACTGATAGCTCAGTAAAAAACATATTAACAAAACAATGTACAAATGAAATTGGATAGGTTCAAGTTTTCAATAATACTATTATAAATACTTACTTTGCAGAGATCAACCTCATTAGAAAATTAAATTTAGTGCCAATTTGGTCAAATTTTTAAGCAAATTTAATATATAAAAATTTGTAGAAATATGCTAATCTACTGAAAATTTTCAGAAAAAAAATATAAATTTAATTATTTGCAAAAATTTTATTTATTTATTTTTTTTTCTTTGCAATGTTGCGGAAAAGTGAATTTTTATTAGATATAGTAGTAGTATATTCTTGACTAACGAGAGTACATTCTAGCTATATCTGCACCTTTTGAGTGCCTAATTAAGTGGCTACCTTTTATTAGGATCTATATTAGATACTATATCTATAACTCACTATTACTTGAGCTATGAAATTAAACTCTCTGATGTCCTCCATCCTGCACCACCACCTTAATTATGCCAACTTATAACCTTGTGCTGCTTTATTAAAGACCACCCAGATTGACATGTACTACACTATTTGTGCTCTAATTCGATAGATAAACTAGTAGAGTTTTCATACTTACCAGGTTATCCTAGAAAAGGTGTAGTATATACCCTTCTAATCTTTTTATATCATACACATTTTCAGGCTAGGCCTTTTTGGTAACTTACACTGAGTTCAAAAACAAGTACTTGCGAGCTGAAGCTGCTACAGTTGCCTACTACTGCCCTTGTAGAGTTCACCCAAACCTCAGTACCTACTTTACAGACTCACTTCCATACCTCTGGAAACCCAAACTTCTAATCTGATGGTCTGAAAGGGCAGAACTCTTTCTCTAGTTATCTGGTTGGTATAGTGCCTTATCAAGCACCTTAGCTCTGTTCAGTTTTCCAGTATCGGGTTGACCATCCTTTACATAGTAACTGTAAAGATCTGTACTACCTCTTCACTTGAGTCTTGCCAAGCAGGCTTCTATATCCTATATATTCATTAGATTTATCTGGTAGCTTCGCTTGGGTTTCATATAACTCATACATTATACTACATATTCCACTACCTTCTAGTACAAACTAATATGTTCACCATTACAGGTTCTATAACCCAATAGGATACAGTCTTCCAAATACATTTTCTATAAATTTGAATTTTCGTCACCAGTGGGATTCGAACTCTAGTTCTGCTGCTTGGCGGTGCAACAACTTGCCAATTTCACTAAGTTGCCACATCCTGCAAAAATTTTTAATAAAATAAATTTCACAAATATGTAAAAAATTTTTAAAAATTTTTTAAAGCATAATATATATAATTATGGTCAGACCTCTCTATAATCACCAAGTCTGTTGCATCCTATTGTAGTGATTGTATAGAGGTGTGATTATAATCAAATATCAGATTATTATCACATAATCTTCAGCTAATCAATAATTAATTGATAATTCATTAGTCATGATTGTCCAATACATAAAAGTTTTTGTACTAACTTAACTACCTTTGAGTCTTTAAATAAACTTGTAGAGCTCATTAAGATGAATCAAATAGTGGTTAAATCATCAAAATTGGCCTAGTGGTTGCTGAGATATTTTCAAAAAATGTTTGCTAACTATATAAATTCTTCATTAACAATATAAAGAATTTTTCTATAGTTGGTGAAAGTTTTTTGAAGATATCTCAGCATCTGCTAAGCCGATTTTAATAATTTAACCATTATTAGATTTGTCTTAATGAGCTCTACAACTTTACTTAGAAACTCAAAGATGATTAACTTAGACAGAATGAATAGTATTTGTGCTAGAATGATGACGCCAGACATTGAATTCAAAGAATTAGAATTTGATAATAATGCATTTGAGACGATCATGCCTCTTAAAGAAGGAATTGAACTTCGTTATAAAGGGGATGAAGAAAGTATGAAGAAAGTATACAAAAAGCTTGGCGATGTTTTGTTGCAAATACTAATCTAGAAAATTCTATAGCAAAATTCTGGAAAGGTTATTATTTATTCAAGTGCTATGTTATTGATGAAAACCTTGAAGAAGCTAAGAAACTTTTTAAGGAAGCTGCTAATTATGGTATTGCAGATGCTCAATTAAATTATGTATTTATCTTAATTAAGGATATAAAGGATCTGGAAAAACAAAAAGAATTTTTAAAATATTTGAAATTATCAGCCAATCAAGGAAATGAGGAAGCAGAGTATCATTTAAATAAATTATATTTAAAGAGAAGTATTGTAAAAGCTGATCGAGAAATTAGATTAAGTTATTTAGTTATTTAAGGCTGGCAGCTTTGAATAACCATGTAAAAGCTCGAGAATTTTTGAACAAGGAAAATATTAATATTTAATTTTTTCTTTATTATATTATAAATTTTATCTACCATAAAACTGCAAAATAACCTATATTTTGAGCACCTGCACTTTATTTTGGACACACTTATGTACATTATTTTGAGATAGTTAATTTTAAGTTTGATTATTTTTTATATTATAAATTCGCAAATCTGTGAATATATTATATAAGCGCATTATTTTGAGTATAGATAAAGGTAAATTACCCTTCTTAATAAAAGTTTTTTTGAAATTGTTGAAATTATTTGATAAAATTAGTTTTTTTAATAATAAAAATTAATTTAAATTATGCCAAAAATTAGTTAAACTAAATTGAATAATATAGTTGTTTTTATATTTAATTATAGAAAAAAATATTAAAATATGAAATTATTGCTGAAATTAAAAAAGTTGAAGTCAACATCATCTCCATTGAGGTGTCTATGAGCATTATTAAGTGTCACTTTAAAAAAGTTTGATTTTCGAAATAACAGCCATGTCTATTCAATTATTTTTATTTTTTTTTTAGTTTTAAAAAATTTTAAGATATTAGGTGAGAAATAAAAGGATTTATAGCATATATAATCTAAATTGTGAAACATTTGGTTAGTTTAATATGTAGCAAGCATTAATAACAAATTTTACACTAACTAAAATTTATGCATAGTATATTGATACATTAGTAAATATATTAGGTGCCAATACATATACGTATTGCTAGTATTTTGCTGATATGCATTTCTATGCCATATCTTATTTAATTAACTGTAAATGGTTAAAATTTATAACCAGCTCAACTCGGTTACAAATTTAATTGTGATAACCGTAACTGGCTCCAAACTCTATTAAGCTTTGTCTTTTTTATAGTCAAATATAATACTGTATATCTCTAACTAAAAAATGTAAATGTAAAATACTTATAATTAAAAAACTTGTGTTTCTTTTTAACAATATGTATATTTAAAAAAAATAATTTTTTTAAAAAATAATTTGAAAAGTACAAAAAAATTGAAAATATCAATATCATTTTAATATGAACCAAATACTATAAACATTTCCTTAACAAATGTAAAAAATTTATTTTACTCAAATTGATATATCAACAATATTAAATTTCAACAGAATCAAATTGTTGTTTTGGATTTAAATCAGGGGAATAGGTTTTTTTTGGTTGCACTAAATGTTTATAAATTATTAATAAAATTAATTAAATTTAAATATGCCCAGGCAGTCCAAATCAATCGGTTCAATACCTTTACTTTGCCTTTTTGTAGTGATAATTCTGCTGCTAGTATACATCAAATCTGGATGCTTTTGTGTAATATCCGGTAATGTTTTAATAATTTTATCAGCATCTAAGAATTTCTCCTTTATGTGAAGTTTATTAGAATAATTAAAATTAACATGTTCCAATAGATTATAAAGGTTTAAATAAATTTCAATTGCGGTGGGTCGTTTCTTTGGATTTGGTTGCATACATTTTTTAGCTATCCTGATATAACAATCAGGAGTTCCACGCGCAAAGTCTGGTCGCAAACCTTGAATAATCTTCACTTCCGATTTCTTCGTATAAAGATACAACCAATAATTGCTTGATAACGTAAAAAATAATTCCTACTAAAAAGACAAGGCCAATGATGATAATAATATATCCAAGTTTCCATGAAGAGGAGTTGATATTTACGTTGGTAGTGCAATTTGAAATATGCTGAGTCGCAGTTATATCTTGACTAGGAGCTGAGTTTTAAAGATCGGGAATATTAGTAACATGATTGGAAATTAGGTTATTGTTAATCTGAGAAACGGATACACTTGTGGTTTGATTAGTAAAATTGCTTCTCATGCAAGAGTCACAAATATTGATTTGATATTTGCTTGACGATCCAGTGATGTGATTAGAAAAATTGCCCTTCATGCAAGAATCACAAATATTGATTTGATGTTTGCTCGATGATTCTTGAGGAGGCTGAGGTGTATTGGTAAAAATATTATTATTGTTCTGAGGGTTCTGAGGAACCAAAGGCTGCCGTGTATCTTGAGAATTGGTAATAATAGTATTATTGGTTTGGGGAACTGAAAGCAGAGGTGTATTTTGAGAATTGGCAATAGTATCATTGTTCTGGGGAATCGAAGATTGACGTATATTTTGAGTATTGGTAAAAATAGAAGGAATATTTGATATGTTTTGAAACATCATAATTAGTTGTTGATTTTGGGAAAAAATCTGCTGTAAGATTTCATTTTGTATGTTGTTTTGGCGAACAATTTGTTGAGAGTTTTGATCATTAGATTGCGTAGGTTGGACATGTTGAGGAATCATATGGTGAACAATTTGTTGAGAGTTTTAATTATTTAAATTGGATTGCGTAGGCTGGAAATGTAAAGAATTCGTATCATCAATTTCCTCGATTTGAGGATTTCTGTCTCTTTCTACTGAAACATGTAGATAGTAATCACTTTGATCCCTCGGGTAGCGTTCAGTTATTTTTTTATTTTGAGCTTCGGTTAGTTGTATTCCATATTTAATACAGTAATCTATACATGGACTGCAAAGACAGCCATCAATGTAGAAATGCCACCATGAATTGTTGGGTTGAGACATAATTAATTGAT